AAAACCTTGGCTTTTAAGTCTTTAGGCCATTTGCAACATTAAAAGAAAGCTACATTGCTACAAAGGAAATAACCTAATATATATGTAATTAAGAACAATCGATGATCAGACAATTACTTACATTTATTTGCATTGAACACTTAACACGGAAGTATGTAGCGATTAGGCCCTGGCGCATGGCATCCTGGATGCAGAACTGCACAGTATACGAGGTTTAGCAGGAAGGAAGTCGCCGTGTTCTAAATTTAGACTATTTGGCAGTTGGTGGAAGTTATGCTGGAATTTTGGACAGTGCACTGGAAAGCGCTCACAGTGCACAAATCTCTGTTTTAGTGCAAAAATTTTGTCTTTGACTTTAACTCAAAAATCTTTGTTTTTACTGTCAGTTGCATTAGCATTACCACCAGTTTTTGAATGTTCTATTGCTATAACTATATTTGAAGGAGATTCCTTTATTCGGTCCAAAGTTATGTTATTTTCCATTTTGAACTTGGCTTGGCTTGTAGACTAATTTTGCATCAGTTTTTCTGGTCTGTGGATTCTTAGCTTAAGAGTATGCAACTTTTGAAAAAGTCGAGTTTAAAGTTGGGGCATTTTTTATGGGCCCTTGGGCATGCATTTTTTCAGGATCCTTTTTTTTTTTACTAGGTTGTCCTCAACAGAGAATCATCTTGTGATCAGCCACCCCCAGCCCCATTTCTTTGGTTGGCTACTCGGGTTTATAAGATTTTGAGGGTCTCTCCTTATGCATGTGACTTTACTTCTTCCTTGTTGGCAGAAAAGATGGCAATTATTTGGTTTTTCCTCCTCCTCCTCCTAAAATTGCTGTTTATGGTGGGAAATTTGCCACTCAGTATGCAATGGGATAGCTATGCCTTATCCCCCACATTTTTGGAACAGCATACTTTGGCTTATCACTGCCAGGAGGAGGTATATTTAAAGTCTCAATGGATGGATGCCCTTTTGGACCTGTCGTGGTCTAGATTGGAACCTGCGATCACTTTAAAGAGATCACAGTTTCTTGGATTCGTCTTACTCTCACGATTGTCCTGAGGTATTTATCTGCAATCCAACTTTTGTCGAAAGCCTATAAATGTTCACCTCTATAGCTATTTTGACCACATCTGTTAGATTTTAACCAGGCATGAGTAGTTTCCTCAATCATATACTCTTTTATTTCCAAGGTCCCTTTATTTATCACTGAATCCCACTCTGTGACAAGTGTTTCCTAGGCAGGTATGCTTTCTCTTTTCAATTCCGCACTAGCAACCACTCTCACTATAATTACTACAGTTTGAAACAGGTTCTGTTGAAATGGGATGTTCCATAAGACCATCTAGGTGCCTACTGGATGGTATTACCTCATTATTATTATGGATCACCACTCATGGACTATCATGAGTAAAGCTGAAGGGGATCCTGCCTGTCCCTGCAGATTTTTAGATTGAATAAATCGGGGGTCAGTTTGCTTTTAAAAATGTAGGGAACTTGGTTCACCTATTGCACAGTTTCCAGAGCACTGTTCCTCAACTAGTGGAGCTCAGGAGTCCTTACCACCCCCAGTTTCCAGTTGCTGGTGTGGTGGACAGAGGCTTTTCCTCCAGAGTGTTTGACTTTGTTCCTTCACCCTTGGAGAAGATGGTGAATTTGGGGGACCTCCTACTCGAGTCCCTGGATGTTTTTCACAGATGTCAGTAGGAGTGGCACCAACCTCTGCGGGAGCCTACTTGTAATTCTGGCTCATATTTGGCACAAAGCTATCCAGTTGGGGGGTGCATGGCCCTTCTCTTTGATTGATGTTGGTTTCATATATTGTTCATGGAAGAAGGTCCACTATCTCCTCATAATTTCAAACGTGAAGTGGTCTCATTCTAGGTCCTTGGCTGAGTACAGGTTTCATGTCCTCTCCAGAATTCCATGGGCAAGTGGAATACTCCTTGCCCACTTGGTTGGGGAGTGAAAATGAATGTTCATAATTCCAGACTGGATGAGTTCTATTTTTTTGCACAGCATACACGATCCCATCATTCTGAGCCTGGGGTGTTCCCTTTTGGACTTCTTCAGGTGGAGGAGAAAGTTTGTTCACTTCGGTATTGCGGACTTTCTCGTCATGATTCCGTTGGTGTGAAACACATCACTCTATGGCAACAGGTTGGGATCCAATCAAAAGTATATATATGTAACATTGAAGTCCAATTGCCCTAGCCACCAACTTAGGACATAGGTACTACGACCTCTTAATTCCCACCCCAAGTTGTGGAACTTTGGCTATCTTGTTGGGGCTGGTCTATACTGATGATTACTCATATTCTAATTGACCTTTGATATAGGAACTGAGTTCCTGGTGAAGAGCATACGTGTTCTGGATGTAGTGCGGTTCCCCCACTCTTGTAACATTTTTATCTTGGTATACACCTGTTCTATACAGACACTTTCTGTATGATTCATGCCTGCACCGGACCCTCCACCTTCTCAATGTGGGATTCTAGCTATAGTATCAGTGGAGGTAAGTATGTTTGTAAATTAACATTTTCCTACACTGAAAATGTATTTTCCATGGTACTTACCTCCACTGATACTCTCCCGCCCTTCCTCTACATTAAAAGCTGGCTTATGTCTCGTAAAAGTGATTACATTATCTGAATGAGGTGCTTATATACAGTACCTAGATAGAGGGTGCATTGAAGTTGGTGGAGAATTTTGCAAATTAGAATTTGCCAAGGGCAGTTGAGTGGGGTGTAAAAGAATGGAGCAAGTGTTTTCAATGCAAAAAGTGGAAACCCTGGAGATCAAGAAATAGATATAGTGTCAGCAGGGGTAAGTATTATTGGAAACACATTTTCAGTGTAGGAAAATGTTAACTTGTCAGCAAATGAAAAATAAAACTAACACAATTAACTACTCTTTTATACATAAATAATTCAACAGTATTTATGAATGTAGCCAGATCTGTGTGATTATGTTTTTGTGTATATAAAATTCTTAATACTTTTGTGACTATACTGCATGAGTCTAATTAAAGCCACATATTAACATTAATTAGTATCAAAGCAAGTTGTTGTTAAAAGTTTACACATATATGTATATATTCAGTTAGAAACATAGTGATTCTTTTTCAGACCAAAGATTAAATATATTTGGTAAAGGGTATGAATAAGGTACCTAAATATTTGAAACCTGTTTAAGATTTTAATTACTGTTTCCAAAGTGTTTATCAAGTGTATAGGCTTATATTTTTATTGCTGTTAAAGCAGTAATACCATTTTTAATTCATACATCTTCGTGTGGAGAGCATCATGTGCTTGTACAAGTCTGAACAGCTATGTTTTGAACAACATGGAATTTTAAAGAGTGAAGTAATTATTATTTTTTTTCAATTCTTTAGAAGGTTGAATAGAAATGACATATGTTGTTTGAACTCATAAAATAATGTTTTAGATTTTCTTGCTAATAAATTCAAAAGTTGATAGAATTCTGGAGGCAATGATGTTGACAAAATTATAACCTTGAGATCCATTGGATCTAAGCTGTTGGATTTTGGCTATAAATCTGGAAATAGTATTTTTCATTTTTACCATAGTTATGGTAACTGGCATAGCTACTCATCATGATTGATGGAAACAACTTGATTCATTCAAATGCAAGTTCCACAGAAAAGTGTCTAAACAGGGATTATGTGTAATGCACAAATGTTTGTTCAGTATTACTACAATGCTTTTACTTCTTTCATAGTCAATGCCATAGTATGGGTGGTGCTTCTAACTGGCTGTTTTCCCTCTGGTCAGTAGTTCAAAATTAGAGATGGTGTCAGATAGTTTTAGTAGCTTGCTATAATTACAAATACAAAAAATTAATCAGAAACTATTTATCAGTTAAACAGTTTTTTTTAAAGATAAAATATACAAGTTTTCAGTTATTAAAACTGAAATATTAGGAAATAAATATGATACTGTTAATGTCACAGAGTCAGATTTAAGTCACAAAATAGGTGGAATTTTGTGGTTAATTGCAACAGGAGCTCAGTATATATGTATTATAAAAAGGGAAACAAGTGTAGAATGAGAATTATATGTAAATAAGGTGCTATTAAGATTTCTTGTGTTTAAATATTGAAACCAGCCATGTAGAAGCTGAGATTTAACTAGAGCTTTTTCGAGTTTTGTAATGTTTTCCTTTATTTCTTTTATTAGCTTGTTTCTTCAGGGTTACTGTTGACCAGCTAATGTAATGTAATTGGTAGAGTAGTCTTCAAGTATTTGTTCTGCCTGAAGGCTGGCTCAGTAATTAGCTAATGTTTTACTTGTATAAATGGTAGGACAGTGTGTGATAAGGTATGTTCTGATTGGAGGCTGTTTCAGTTATATGAATAACAGCAGTATATGAAAAGTTCTTCGTTTTCACTGACAGCTGACTCACTTATTACTTGCTGTTGCAGTTGTGAAAATGGTAGAACAGTTTTTGAAAGGATTTTATTCTAATTGAGGACTGCTCATTGTTAAGTCGCTGTTTCACTTACATGAATAACAGTGCAGTATGCTATAGGTTATTGCTTTTAACTGATAGCTAGCTCAAGAGTGTTAAGAAAGATGTTTGTTCTGACTGGAGGCTGACTCATTATTAAGTTGCTGTTTCACTAGTATGCATGGTAGAGCATTCTTTGAGAAAATGTTTATTTTAAATTGGCTCTTTTTTTCTTTTAATCAGTGAAGATTTTATATTACACTTTAGACCTTTTAAAGTTTACACGTGTACTTCTTGTTTGTAGTTATGGTGTTTTGAATTATCTTTCTTTACAATGTGTCTGAACAGATATTCTGGTTGTCAATGCTTCATTTCTTGTTTTTTTTCTGGAAGTACAATAACAGCAAATAACTCTTGTGTTAGATTTATTAATTTGATGTATTTTTTCTTTTCTTTGTTTATTAAGTAAATGTTTTTTGTTTTGTTTTTTTACTAAAAAACAGTGAACCAGGTGAAGTGTACTTAACTCTTTAGTACTGTGTAAATATCTATTTATGATAACATTTTGTTATAATTTTACTATACTAGTAGAATTTTGTTGTAATTCCCATTATTATTTTTGTATATTATTTATTACTTACCTGGCTTTTTTTTTTCAGGATGTATCAAAGGAATTTAATCGTTGTAAAGAAGAAGGAGTCACAAGATTAGATCTTACAAAGTCTAGTGTAAGTATAGTAAATTATATACTGTAAGCTATAATTACACTGTATTTGTCTTAACTTTAGTGTAAGTTGTTATGTTGATGATGACATAGCCCGAACAAGATACTGTTGTATTTATTATACCTCATTAATAACAAAAGATGACTACAATCTTTCCAAGTTTCATCAAATTTATGGTTAATATAAAGAATAATAATCAAAAAATAAACTTCTCATTAATGTTTTTACTGCATTGTGCCATATGGCCTATGATGTGATATTGGTTTGTGTGTGTTGGGCCATTAAATTTATGTCGTATAGAAATTTTCATTCCCTGTATCCTTGCATAAATGTTTTTGCCTTGGCTGTGTCTGAAATTAATCCCATAAGAATCCCTAGGTTTTCTAGTGATTATAGTGTATATCTGTAGATTAAATAAAAAAGATTTGAATACTGCATATCGACAGCAGGATAATTAAGTATTACTTAGACTTGATTTTATTAATATATAATATGCTATTCAATATTAATAGTATTATTTCCTTAGAATTTGGAAACCATCTGAAATTTCAAATGCCAATGTGTGTCATTATTGTTTTAAAGTTTATCTTTGTTTAAAATTAGATATGATGAAATTCAGGACCTGGAAAAAACCAACTTAATCTCTGTCTTATTTTTTCAACTCGTTAGAGTAACATTTTGGGCCTATTTTGATACAGTTGTAACCAAGATATAGTGGAAAACAGGAAAAAGAAAACAAGCAAAATTAATGTGAAAATGGTCAATTTATATTACCTTCTATTTTTACCTTAATCTCTTTGTCTTACTTTTCAATTCATTATTTCCAACTACCAAATTCATATTGGAATCATTATATCACTTCAAAGCCTGCTTATAGTGAGTTAATATTTGTAACCAAAAACAAGGGAAATCATAAACCTATTGAAATCTTTGCTAAGGTGAAGTAAGCGCTACTCACTCCTGTATTGGAAATTGAAGGTTCCTGGCCATTACTGCTTCGACTATTGTGATATGTATCAATATCCTTCTACTGAAATCATTGGTCTGGAGATATAAAAGCTTCACTTTTAGTGTTCCCTTTACAAAACTAAAAGGGCCCATGTACATTAATGATGATGATAATAATAAAGCTAACAATATCAAGTCTTGATTCATTTTATGACTAAGTCACCATTTCATAATCACAAAAACCTTTTTTTTATGTTTTTGCAAACCAATTTAATATTTTTTGTCAGAAGTATCTTGCTTTGTTTACGTTAAGTAGTCTATTTATAATTGATTACATAATAGTGTTAGATGTTTTTTGTTTTATAAACTTAGACTGTTAAGGTAGGACTGTGCTTTTATAAACTTAGACTGTGCTTGAATTTTCTTTTTGGTTACCAGAAAATTTTAGCTGATACAAAATTTCATGGTAGATGGACAGGATAACAAAATTATCTCCAAGAATGTAATTCATATTTTAAAAAACTTTACTTAAATGCTAAACCAAAATAAAACATAATTAAGTTTGAAATTAAATTAATGTATACGGAATAAAGTATGTCAGCTTAAAAAATCATGGAGTTTAAGATGATTATTATTGTTATTTTAATTAAAGAAGTAAAGTGAGAAAGTTGTTGCCAAAGAACTTTGTGTGTAATGAGGCTAAGGTGTTCTGAAACATTTAAATGTAAAAACATTTTAACCATATGACAGACTGTGCACTAGGCAAATGTTTTCTATTAATACTTTTGGTGCATTGAGCTGTAGAGCCTGATCCATGATATCTACTTTTGTTTGTGTGTGTGTGTGTTGTGCAGCAAATGTGTTATATATTTTAACTTACTTTTGCTATATTTAAACAAATATGTATTTGCTGTGGCTACTCGTATAACGTAATTCGGGGACAGCTCTAAGTTTCCTGGTGGTTATATGTTGTGTAGATAATGTGACAAAGTTTGTATGGCTACCTCATATCATCAAGAGGATAATGAAGTTCTGGGATAACTCCTGGATCTTCTTCAACATTCACTGCTATACTTCCACATCTCCATATCGCTGTTTATCCGTGTGTTTTCAGTTGTACAAGATGTATCCCTTCCTCTCATCCCACAAAAACGAAAGTACTGAATGTCAGAGAAATTCTAAGGTTTATTCCTAATAAGTTTCAATACTGGATGTCAGTAAAATGTGTGTTGCATGTATGTAATAAAGAAGAATAAATTATGTAGGTGAACCAGTTAGCTTACAACTTTTGTACAAGCCATTTTGAGTGCTATTAAAATATGAATGAATATTATGTCACAAAACAAAAGATTCTACCATGAAATCAAAACAAGCTATTTTAGTGTCTTTAAAACTATATAGCAAAAACTGTGACATTATAACAAAATTAACAAGAAAAAATCCCACACATGAAATAAACACTGCTGTCACAATAAATAATAGGAATGAGCTCGTACTTAACAATCTGAAATTTATAAAAGTTGTGATTGATTGTGAACATTTTTGTTTTTTAAAAATGTGCTTTAGCGAAAAATAACAGCATTTGCTTAAATGCAATTCTGCATGTCTTCTTCATTAATCAGGTTGAACATATTGGTTCTAAAGTAGTTATATCTATCATGGTTACGTTCTCACCATTAAAACAAAAATGGCAATTGTATATGAATAAATGATTTTTTTAGGAACTTGTTTGCTGATAGAGGGAAATGAAATCATGATAAATAAATTTTTATTACAAAAGCAGACTTATCAGACCATACTATATTTAGAACTAAATTGAATGCACAAAAAAAAACGACTAAGTGAAATGTTTCTGTAAAAAATTAGGGAAAGTAGTCTTCAGTCTCCTGTGTAGTATAGAATTACCAACAAGAAAAATATGAGAAGCTGGCATGATTTTGCAGGTAACGTTAATTACCTAATGATGGACTTTGATTGACCCTGCATCTTGGAAGCTATACATACTAATGTTTACTATAATTCTGAGTATTCTAGTTGTATCTTAATGAAATATTGTAAGCTTTTAATAAACATTACAAGCCTGTTGTACAAAAAAGTGTTTTTACTGAAGATTTGTCTGAGAATTTTCCAAGTCTTTACTAGAGTCAGTTGTACTGACTGCATTATTGATAAGAAAGTTTCAAATTAATTTTCGTAAAAGTTTTAAGTTTTAACCTTTTCACATGTTTCCTTTCAATTTTATGGTTTTACTTCATAATTTGTACCCACTGGAGCAGTAAACCTCATGTCAAAAGCAGTAAATCACAGACAGAGCTCCCCCACTGGAGCAGTAAACCTCATGTCAAAAACAGTAAATCACAGACAGAGCTCCCCCACTGGAGCAGTAAACCTCATGTCAAAAACAGTAAATCACAGACAAAGCTCCTTAGCAGATTTCTGTAGAGCTAATGTAAACAACACATAATTGTGAGGTGTCATATTACATGTGCATTTGAGCATATGAATTTTGAGATGTTTTACTGAAGCTAAGTTGTAACACTTTTAAGTTTTACATTTTACTTACTTTGCTAAAAATATATAAAAATAAGAAAACATATACATAAAAAAGAAGGATTTGAGATACTGTTTTCACTTGAATAAAAATTGAAGCTATTCTTCCTTAAACATTGTTGAGTCTCACAAATGGTGTTTAAAAATAATTTATGTAGCTTTCATATAAATTCATTCAGAACACAAAAAATTTACCAGTTAGCGGAATAGAATTTCCCAAAACTACTATAATTTATTCTGCTGGCTTTTTAAATATGCTGTAGATAAGTTAAAAAACAAAATTCCCTTGGGATTTGGAGCAGCAAACTATGATCACAACAAACCAAGCAATCCCATTAATTAATGGTTTACAGTGGAAAAACTAAACCAGTGGTTTGTAAGATTTATATAGAGAAGAATCTGCTCTTTCTATTTTGTTTTTTAAAGAAGTTCTTTAACCATGTAAAATTGATTAGCAAACAGTGTTAAAGTCTTAAAGGTGAAGGCTTCTCTGGTGTTTTTGAAAAATTTATTAACATCTCAGCAAATCCAGAAGATAGGATGCTCAAATTTTAGATTCTTGCTTACTATTAACTGTATTTTTAATTGGTCGGAAACTACAGCAGCTTATTTGTATGGTAGAAAATTGAAGAAATATCAGCTCAGATGTGTAAAATGAGGGGGGAAAATATTGAAAACTTTTTAACTTTTTTTTATTTAATTAAGAACTTCAAACTTAGATAACATGTGAATTTGAATTATGAACTATGTTTTGTGCCAATTGTATTGACATAAATTGATAATAAAGTTCTTTAATTAAATTTTGAATGTGACTGTAAAAGGTTGTGACATGCATAGAAGAACCATGAGTAGATGAGAAGGATTAAAAGATATATCTCAATTATTTGATATGAATAACATAAACAATCTGTACTGTCAAACACATTTATATTAGTCATTTATGAAATGTTTGTGTGTAAGTGTATATCCTTACACAGAATATATTAGCACGAAATTTATTTTACTTTCTAGATTGTTGTTCTACCATCTTCAGTGAAGGATCTGACTCATTTGAAAGAGTTTTACCTTTATGGTAACAAACTTCAAACACTGCCACAAGAAATTGGTTGTTTAGTCAATCTTGAGACATTAGCACTTAATGAAAATTCCCTTGCTAGTTTACCAGATACATTGGTTAATCTCAAGCAGCTCAAGGTTCTTGATCTTCGACATAATAAATTAAATGAGGTAAGTGATGCCTAAAACTGTAGTACGTGCTGCTAGTAAACAGTTTTAAAAATTGTAACTGTTATAGAAATGAATAACAGTATTGTACAAGTTCTAGATTGTTAGGTTTTATTCAAAATCTGGTTTTAAAACCTGTATTCTTGGCTGTCGTGAAACTCTTTATTAAAAGGGATGTTCTATCTAAAATGATGTTATTTAACTATTGTTTCTTTAATGTAAAAAATATACCTTTGTAATTGGTGGTTGTAGCCTTCTAACATAAATAGAAAAAATATTATAACTGTTGGCTGTAAAATTTTAAGAAGTGATTGATTTCATTATACTTTCTATAAACTGAAGTGTCTCAAGAAATGTGGCTATTCCTAAAATTTCAGGTTTGTATAGATCACAGAAGACACTTTTAACATCACCAAACTAGCCTTTTCAAATGTTGAGGGCATACCTCGTTCAGAAGAAATCTGTGTTCCCATCAGATATGCTTACCTCTGAAATACTGAAAGCTTTTCCTTGTTGAATTTGAACTCCTGTTGTCAACGAAATATGTGACTAAAACTTTCCAAGTGTTCTTTGAGTACTGTAGAGCATGCATCATTTACCTATAATTCTTCACCCTCCCACCTTCCATGTGACTTTTTGCACAAGTTTTGTTGCAAGTTAATCTTCTTTTAATTACCTGAAAGAAAGGCGGATCTTTATGACTCACTCATTGATTGTGTGAAAGACAACAAGAGATTGAAGACTATTTTTAGATCTTTTTGGTCTCATTTGTTATCTAGATATTTCTACTTTTTAGGTGAAACCTACGAGAATCTTATGAAATACCTTTGTTAAGGTTTTTAAATGATGAATGGGGATTTCGAGGATGCTTATTTACATGTCTGAATTCAACCATCTTCATTTCTCACTGTGGAGTGATTTGTTAATTTATAGCCCTCCCATTTTGTTCTAGCTTTGTCACTATGTCATCACACATATGGTCTTCTACACACAAACAATATCAATTGTTAACATTACATGGATGAATAGAGAATTCTTGTAAAGTGTTTACCTTGCACTAATTTGACTACCTAGCTAGCTTTTTCTCTGGGATCAGCTGGTCACAAATCCAAGTCTCAACTTGTGTATACTCAATATCTCGTTTAACTGAGATCTCATATTAACACTGTCCCACAAAATCTTCACTCATCTCCTTTGTCTCTGCAATTCCTTGAGTTTCAAGTACACATGCTTCTACATCTGACAAACATATCCTTTCATTAATTTTCATTAATTTTGTGCTTACTTCAGTAACTGTCAGTGAGATCTTGCACCTTCATAAAGTCTATTTTTAGACTTTTGCCTCTTGGAATTTCTCCTACCAGTCTCATTTACTTAAAATGTTGCCCATTCATGAGTTTCACTTTTCTTCCACCTCCTCCTGATCTGAATCTCTTCACAGATACCCCACTCCATTGTTAGGTTTATGTGTTATCTTTAGGATCTCTAGTCTTTTAGATTCCCTTTCTTGCATCATTCTGTTAAGAGATTTAGGCTGTTCCCATGAATGTCAGAGCTTTTTACAATATCACTGTGGTTTACTACTCACAGATACTTTGACTTTAGTGACATATTTCAACAGGAAAGGTGGGACTTAATCTCACAGCATTTGTGTGTTGCAGTTTCTCTATTCTTTGGCTACAATAACATCATGTTTTTCTCTGAGCTGGTATTTCATTAGTTGTGCCAACAGTTTGGTTATCCTAAACCCTGATGCATTTGCTAAGGCAGTGCATCATTTTATGATGCTTTACTGGTTTCCACTTCTCATCCAGTTGCTTTAGCAAAGGATGTTTTAAGCCCATCTTAAGAGTTTTTTTTCTCTATGCCTACCTTCTTCATCTTCTTTTTCAAGCATTGGGGAAGATCAGTTGGTCCTGTTGTCTAGTTTTTCTTTATTGTACCATGCTTACTTGCCACACCAGGGTTTTTACTTCTTTCATATATCTAAGAAGGATCCTATTATATTATATTATGGAACATCTTTCTCAACATCAGTCATCTGCAGCTTCATGGCTGACTGTTATGCAGTCCTTTGTCAGAGAATTTGGCTTATTTTTTTTGGGTAGCTCAAATGTTGTCACATTCTTGCAGACATTTCTCCTAGGTAAGAATCAATGTTTTAGTCTGTCTTTCAGAGTTGATGCTTGCAGAATTTACTTTTTTGTTTTTCTCCAACTCCTTAACAGCTTGCCTCATTTTTTTCATGTACCTCATTCATGATTGGTGCTTGTCTGCTTCTATTGTAGAATACACAACTACACTCTCTCACAGTTCATTGTCACATAAGTTGTGCCTCTGCTGTCCCCACTGTTTTACATGTTCTTTTTTGAGTTTTTTTTGCTACATCTCCCACAAATACCTAGACAATGTACTAATAGGATTTACATTTGGTCTTAAGTTGCCTGATTTCTCCTTTTGAACTTTGTCCACCCTACCATATTTCACTAAAGACATTTTTATTTTCTTACATTCTTCATCGAGGAGACATTTTACATTGATTTTTGTCATACTTTTTTTTTTCCAGGAAGGCTCTTTACTTGTATCTCTCTTGTTTTTTCCTCTCATTGTGTTATTTACTGTGACTGACCCTGATTCTCCTTCTTATAAATGTTTTATATGTATAGTCAGTGCTATTTGTTGCTATAATGAAATAATTGGATATATTTGAGGGAATCAAAATCAGTTGTTTCTACCTTCTGGCAAATAACGTTCCATGCATCTTTTGTCATCCACATAAACCCTTTCGCCATTGGTATCCTTTACTGCTCATAACACAAGGTTTTAGGTCTTACATTCAAAATTTTATTAAACTACTTTTTGTTTATGTTATAACAATTAGAATAGCATGAAACCTTAGCTAATAATCCATATTTTAATAGTATTCAAGTTTTAAGTTCTTGGTTCTACAAGGCAATATTTAAAAAAATCCTGAATTTCCCATAGTGTGACCCACATGACACTTTTCTGTTAGCATGTCATTTTCCCTATGTTATCTACAACCACTCAAAAAAGTATGAAATTTAATGTAAACTACTCTCTATAAAATTGTCACTGCTCAGACGAACAACAATTTTTATAGTCTTCAATTTTGTTTGGTGACAGAGCTCTCGATTAGAAAACCAGACCCCTCCTGCCATGCCTACCTATCACATCCTCTCTTTCAGAATTCATTAATAGTTCTCTCTTATGTTTTAATTATATATTACCTTTAACCAATAGAAAATCAAGATTTTCATCTATCAAATGATGTATTGTATAACATTATGTTCTGAACAGTTAAATGTAAATTTCACTCAGAGTAACAACATTGTTCCTGTGAGAAAGTTAACAACTAGCTTGGATGAATTTGCAACAACTGTTGTTGCATAATTTGAAAGCTAGAAAAATTTGAGAGGTAATGGAATTTGTCTACTTTTTGCATGTTATTAGTCTATATTCT